CAAACACACACACACACACACACACACACACACACACACACACACACACACACACACACACACACACACACACACACACACACACACATAAACACAAAGCGAATACAGTGGTCCACTCATCCACATCATATTATCAGCCTCAACATAACCCAGCACCACATATTTCTGACAGCTCCAGGCATGGCTATTACGGGTGTGTGTGATTGAAACAATCAAATCAGTTCACAGTCATTTAATCTTTCAGCTCTAAGATCTTGCCCATCGCATTAATCCGTCTTTATATGCACACACATGCACACAAACACGCACATCCAAACACAGACACACAGACACACGGTTGACTGGGTGGTCTCTTATCACCCTCATTCCCCCAAAAATTACATATAATACTTATCAGCCCTCAGACTGCTATGGATAGAGAAGTCATTATCTGGAAACATATCCTAATTGAAGGCTGCCTATCTTAATACTTAGCCTAACTTAGATATAGAGTGAAAAGTGTGTGTGCGTGCGTGTGTGTGTGTGTGTGTGTGTGTGTGTGTGTGTGTGTGTGTGTGTGTGTGTGTGTGTGTGTGTGTGTGTGTGTGTGTGTGTGTGTGCATGGTGCAATTGGTGCATGGTCAACACAGCGTTAAATTAGCTGGAGGAATTGTCAGAGACATCATTAAGCTGTTATTAATATCAGCCAGGTAGCGTCCATACATCACTACTTCTACATGGACACACTCATCTCTGGTGAGATCGAGGAGGGATAATGCTCCAATTCTTTTTCCAGGGGCAATTAATATTTATTTTACCAGCAGCACCTCGATTTAAGTGAGAAAGTGAAAGAAATTAAGAAGAGCTGAGAAGATAAATAGGTTTTTAGCTAGGGGGGAGAAACTCCCTTTGCCTTTGACCAAAGCCCTTGTAGATTAAGTGACCTTCCAAGAAACAAGACTGAGAGAGAGCAAAAAAGAGTGAGAGAGGTCATGGCCTAAGGGTAAGAGGGCCATCAAAAGCACTTTTATCATGAAAAAAATGTAATTTACCCTTCAGTTATATGTCCTCTTCATCTTTTGACTGTGTGTGTGTGCATGGGTGTGTGTGTGCCAGTCTGTGACTCCGGCAACCCAGTAGAGTGTGTCAGTCTAGTAGATGCTCAGTAGCACTCGATGAAGGAGCACAAATGACCTGAGAGCAGATGATTGAATCCTCCATCTGCCCTTAAAGAAGCCCCTTAACTGAGAGGCTGACCACAAACATAAAAACCCCACCACACACACACACACACACACACACACACACACACACACACACACACACACACANTGTGTGTGTGTGCGCGCATGGTGCATGGTCAACACAGCGTTAAATTAGCTGGAGGAATTGTCAGAGACATCATTAAGCTGTTATTAATATCAGCTACCTGGCTGATATTAATAACAGCTTAATGATGTCTCTGACAATTCCTCCAGCTAATTTAACGCTGTGTTGACCATGCACCATGCGCGCACACACACACACACACACACACACACACACACACACACACACACACACACACACACACACAGGAACGCTACTGCTCATGTTCACACAGAAACACACACTTCATGTGCACGTTCACAAACACACACGCTCACTCTAAAGGACACAACAGCATTGGCCCCCTAATCAGCCAGAGTGATTACCTGGCCCGCCAACATCGCTACAGAGGCTATTTATCAGCAGATCTCCACACACTGCGCAGGTTATAACAGCATAAGGAGTGAGTTATTAAAGGCACACACACACACACACACACACACACACACACACACACACACACACACACACACACACACACACACACACACACACACACACACACACACAACTTACTCCACTTCTACTATCCTCACACACACATACACACAACTACACACACTTACAGCATCTTCCTCTCCACTGCGACTTGGACTGCCCTCTACTTCCCCAAATGAGTCGTCTGTGGGAGGGTCTGTGGCGTCAGTGGGGGGGTCACTGACATGCGAGGCGGAGGATTTCGAGGGTGAGCTCTGCCTGGGAGCTGGGGTGGGTGCTGCAGAGGAGGAGAAGCTGAGTCAGACGTAGCTACAGAGAAAGTGCGTTACTAAGAGAACAGACTGACCGACAGAGTTCTTACGTGAGTTGGTGGATGGTGTTGTGGAGGTGACTGGTGTCAGATTCATTTGAGAAATGTCAAAATCGTCACAGTCATCCGTATCCTGGGCTTGGCCCACACGGCTGAAGTAAGAGCTGAATGCATCTGAGGTCGCTGCTAAGTTGGGCTGTTCCCCCTTCTTCAAGGGCATGGCAGGGGGCTTTGCCAGCTGAAAGTCCTGTGGAGGGAGGCAAATATTGGTCAGGAACACAACCATTAGTACTGGGCAATGTGACTTCAACATTTTGACTCATTGTATGGGCAATCAATATCTATTACTTATGTGGTTTTATTTTAATTTAATTTTTTAACGTTGTTTCTATCATCCTGAAGCTTTGACTGAAAGAACTCCACAGAGGCTCATAATAAATCAATGAGAGCTGGGCCCAGCCCCCGCGAAACACTAAGAAGGCCAAGTTACAGCGCCTACCATGTCCACAACGTCCCCAATATATAGCATGTCGGGGGTCTCAGCATATTTTTTCCGATCTCTTTCCTCACTCCTTCATCTTTCCAGTGCGTACCAACCAATAAAAGCTCTTCTCTTCTTCTGTATCATGAATATCAATTTTTTTATTTTATTAAATTAATTAAAGTGGACCTATCATGGGGTATGAGGTATTTGAATAATATATTGTATGGCCATACCTATATAAAACACGTTTTTTTTTCAAAATACCAAACAGATCATGCATTTTAGCCATGCCTCATTTCGCTCAATTTGCTCTATTCCAGCCCTGTTTTTGCAAGGGCTGATTCTGTGGCAAATGAGCTGCAGCTGACCACGCCCCCCTGCAAAGGAGGGGGGCGAGGCACGAGCGTCATGTTACAATGCTGTTACCATGCCACGGCAACCCCCCATTCCCCTGATAGGTGGAGAGTTGCCCATATAGGCGGAGCTCCTTGTTTCTGATGTCAGAGATATTTCAAATCTGGATCAGTCTGTATCAGATCCGTTGCAGCCCCATTTTTAGAGATTTGGGTATGGAGGAAAAGAGAGAGGGTTGTGTTTTCTGACAATTGGTGAGTTCCCTGACACACCGGTGACACATATTCATGTATAAAAGACGTACAAAAGTGCATTTTGCATGATAGGTCCCCTTTAAGTAGTAAAGTAAGTCTTCTTCTTATGACTACCCTTTCTAAAAAAGAATACGCTACAAAATAGAGTTCTAATTGTTATATTTCTAATATCATCAGACTTCTACCCACCTTGAACATCTCCTTTCCCATCATCCTTGCCCTGTCCCCGTGCTGCGGACTCGACGAAGCTGAGGCGCCGGCTCCAGCCCCTAAATGGCTCTCGCCGGCGGGAGTCAAAGACGTGACGGGGGTGAGAGTCTGGAACATGGCGGCAGGCAGAGTGCCCATAGATTGGGCAGGGAGGTAGGCTGTGGGGGAGAAGGCTCCGGCTGCCATGGCTGCCCACTGCTGCTGGGTGGCAGGGAAGAGGTTGGCCTGGCCCCAGATGAGAGGCTGGCCGCCTGGCAGCACCTGGGCGACGGCACCCAGAGGAGACTGGACCCCGAAGGCCAGCGGCGTCTGGGCAGCAAACGCTTGCTGGGACCAGTGGCCAGGGGGAACCGCTCCCATTGTCACATAACCTGGAGGGAAGGAAAACAAAAAGAAAATGTAGATATTTTCTGTATCTTTATGAAGTGATCTAAATATAGTGTACATGCTCACCACTGCTTTTCTTCTACACACAAACACACACGGATGATAACCCATGCATCACCAGAGAGTGCTGCCCTACTTCTGCCTGCAGCTAATGTGGTGTCTCTTGATGGTCATGGTGGACTATCATAATTACCTCCAGAATGAGGGAGAGTCGTTATGAAAAGGAAGAGCCCCACACACTCATTAAAATCATTCAAACTCATCAGCAGAAGCTCACTCTCTAGTCTCCGGTTTCTGGCTGCTACCTACAGCAGGAAGAGCTCACATGTTATCTGGTAACACTGACATATAGAGAGAGAGAGGAGGAAGGGAGGCTGAAAGGGGGGAGTAAAGAAGGACAATTGTGAGGTATACACACACGTCTAATTCACAGAGCCTGTGCGCGCCGAGGACTCTTCCCTACAATCATCTCAGCATGCTTTATTACTTTCCTCTGACCACCGTTCTTCAGCCACAGGTACATTAGCAGCATCTGAGGCAGCAAGGTAATGATGCATTTCATATTCAACACACAACCAAAACCACCTTTCTCCTCTTTCCACACCCCTCATCTACATTTCAATTCTATTCTGCCCCCCTCTATTTATTTCAGCCCCCCCCCCCCCCTTCTCTCTCCTCTGACAATCCCCCCCTTCTCTCTCCTCTGACTCTCGAGCTCCCCTTCATCTCCTTTCTCGACGCCCTCTCTCCCGCTGCGCTTGTTTTCCCCTCCGCTTGTAGCAGTGGTGTATTTAAGAAGAAAATGAACAAGGTCCTACCTGAGGGCACAGACGGATTGAAGGGAGAAAACAGTTCCGCGGGATGCTGCAGACCCTGCAGACCCTGCAACGGGTCCAGGATGTTGGCTGGAGAGGCGGGGGTCTGTGCAGGATGTGATTTATTGTGGGGTTGAGCAAAAAAACACATCATTGGAAACATGGATTATGTGAGATGTGAATCACAGACCGTGTGCACGACAGTTACTCACCGATGGAGAAGTGATGTCAGGAGGCGTGGACATGTCTCCAAAAATCTCTAATTGGTTGATATTCTGAGAACAAGAGAAAGTGTACTCCCAGTCAGATACAAAAACACAGCTTTCACTATATATATTATCTGGGTCAGTTTACATTCCAGTGCAACATGCGACACCTATTGCATGCAGCACGACACTTAGCTTGGTATACTTGTGGTACCTACCTGAGCACTGTGGCAGCAACACAGACGAGGTAACAGAGGGTGAGGAGGGATGGGATAATGAGATGAAATGATTGATTATGATGACATACCTACCGAGAGTTATCACAATCCCAGGAGGAACAAAACACATTCTTTCTCATCTGCCCCACACGAAGATGCTTTCCATCAGCTCGTCTAAAAGCAGCCTATCACACCCCCTGCATCATTACGGTCCCACTGTTGTAGAGGATGTGTGGTGTGCCTCAGAGGGAATAGCTATCAAAGTCAGCAGCCTTTCTATTTGATCGCAATTTGTTCTGTAACATTCTGTTTCCTTTCATAGTCTCCCAATGATCCCTCTCTTTAGTATCTCCCCCCTTTTGCACATTAATAATATCTTTAGGCCGGTGGCAAGTGAAGCAAACTCTATTTTTAGCCGTTAAGGAATTTAAGCCTTGAATACATGGTCAGAGATTTGCATAAATCATGGATGCGGATCATTTCTTTTGAGATAATGAATGTTCTTAGAATATCTTCCCTCTCGTTCACTTTCGTAGGTCACAACGTTATTTTTTACATCTATCAGAAAATGGATCTGCGAGCATGCTGTTTTACAGTCATGGGTCTAAATTGGTATTTTTACTAAGAGTGGAGGAAGATAGGAGGCTGTAATATGTACTATTGTGGCTGCAGAGTCTAATGTAGCAGATAAAGATCAATTCAACAAGACGAGCTAAGATATGCAAAATGAACTGATAACCTAATGTCACTAGGATTCAACTGCAAAACACATTTTAAGAAACACCCTCCTTAACATAAAACACTCCTTTAGTTGTTGTTTTGCTCTGTACTCTGAGTCAAGAGCACAGTGTCTTTGCTAATGTTCTTTAAACAGAAACCCGGGATGATAATTGAGGGAGTGTTCCAACAGTAGAGCAAGTGGGACGTTAGAGACAGAGGTGGGAAGAAGTGGAGTACAAATACTTTGTTACCGTACTTAAGTACATGGTATCAGTACTTTACTCCACTACTTATTTTTCTGACGCCATTTTACTTTTCCTTCTTACATTTTTAACACAAATACCTGTACTTTCTACTTCTTACATGTTCAAGACAGGTTTTTTACTTTAGTTTCATTCTGCGTTTGGTGGCGTGATCATTATTATTTAGAGTCATTGCGTGCCGTTGTTCAGCATCAAAACATTCATTAGCTAGCAATGACATTATTGTTCTATTAATATGAAGTGAGGTCAGTTACTCTTTAAAGCAGCTGGTAGTTATGGGTTCTTTTTACTTAAGTACATTTCGAAGCCCAGTACAGTACTGCTACTTTTACCAGAGTATTGTTAAACACGAGTATCTGTACTATCTGTAAGGATGTACTTTTGCCATCTCTGGTTATAGACTTTCTGTCGGCTTTCAGTTCAATCTCTTGACCCTGTACTCTTTAAATGTGGTGGTGGGGTCAGACTGCTGTGGTTATGAATGCTTTATGAATGCACTGTGAGCAGCTTGACTCTGCAAGTGTGTCTGCAGGCGAGATGTCCGCTGCTGTCCGCTGACCCCCACCCGCTCCCTGACAGACGCTCTGACCTTTACGTCCACCTGCCCTCAAACAACCTCTGCTTAAAGCTGCTGGAGTGTTTCTGTTCTCTCACAGATGTAACTTTCTCCCTCAACATAGTTACTTTGCAACAGCAAGATGGCATGTTTTTTTTCAATACATGACAGGGGTCAACAGTTGAGGTGACTTGTGTCCAGAGAGCAACAAAAGTGGTTTGTTTTGCGAGACAGGAAATCATCTGAAGGATAGGTCCCCTGCTCACAAATACTATAAACCCTTCTAGCTTTACCTGATCCACAAGAGCAAACAAGAGCACTGTGCTTCTGCGATATGTTGGTATAGTGCCTTACCTGAGTCACCAGTCCCAGGTCTAAGTCTATCAGATCTGCCACTGCCTGCTGCGGCTGCTGCTGTTGAGTTTGTTCTTGTTGGAGGGGCTGGTCATGAATATGATGATGATGGTTTGTGGGGGGTATTTTGATGTCCCTTCTGCAATCAAAACCCCAGTGTTAGATGGCTGGTGAGATGTAAATGTGAATATTAGTTTTCTTGCATACAATCAGATGTGGCAAGACATGAGTGAGAGGTGAGATGAAGGAAATATAATGGCGATACAGTCACACAACAAACCCATGTACACACATTCAGGAGCAATATCTTTCTTGCCAAACTTAGAGCCTAAGTAAAGAGTAAAAAAGGTTTAAAGATCATCCCCACCTTTAGTCTATACTACAGCACTGAGCTGGGGTATAAACCCCCTTTGAGTTTCTGTAAAGCCTGCTCCCCTGTGTCTGGAACCTCAGTGTGAAACAGACTGACAGGCAAGCAGGAAGAGGAGCTGGATTAACTAACATGTTATATGTGAAAGCAAAAGGAAGGAGTATGTAATAATATCTGAGAAAGATATTTTAATTTCCACTTGCTCTCTCAGTGGCATCACTAGCCCGATGTCCATTAAGGTGAATTACAATCTAAAGATTCAAGGACAAGGTCATTGTTTTATCTTTTTATTATCAGCAACAAATCCCAATGATACAAAGCAACAATGAGGTCTGTGCAGCCAACAGATGGTATAGCATTAGCCTTAATGCTTCTGAACTATGCTTAAAAAAAACATACTGCCGTATTTGCATATATTTTGCACCGCCGCTGAGAAATCGGACTGTTCAAACAACCTCCAATATTTATTCAGCTACAGCAGAATGATGATGGGTTCTGCCAGAGCCTCCGCCAGCACTGGCACGGACACATGATGTGCAGATTGGTCTGGCAAAGCAAGAGTAGTTGGTGCACTATAATATTGCTGAGTGTGTCCTTTTCTTTGGATGAAAGCATGAAGTATGGTCATCATTAGCTGATGCTGGAGAACAATAACAGCTTGCTAAACACTAATCAGTTCTGCAAATATTGTCCATTTTTCAACAGGATGTTTTATTCTGACAGGACTTAAATGGTTCACTCAAATCCAACTGACGAATGTACCTAACCTTAACGTTTACATGAATCTGACAGTTTGTTTGAAACCCATACTATTTACTTTTAGCCTTGAAAGCTATAGTGTACTGCTGCCCATTCCACTAGCTTTCTTTTTTCACACTTCCTGCATCCGTCCCTCTCTCTCTTGCCCTGCCAATTATCCCTCCGTGCTCATTATACACTCCCGCCATCTCTTTGCCCAGCCCTTTATCTTTATCAGTACAGCCGCCACCTATCAATTACCCATCTCCAGGGAAACAGTAATTACCTGTGCACATGTGTTCTGCATACAATTATCGCAGCCCCTTTAATTAACGCCACCTTGCTGATCCCCTACCGGCTGACTGATCACACTGGCAAACGGTCGAAAAATCTACTGAACGGTCACATACAAACACAAACACACATACTCACAACTCAACAACACAACCTGGCTATGGAGACGATTCTCTTTCTTTGGGTAATTTCCTCGGCCAATCTGTCACTCTGCAAAACCCATAACCCTTCACACTTAGGGGGCTATTTAAATGAAACTTTAATTTAAACTAGGAGGCTCAGCCAATCAGGGCACATATTTAACATAAAAAAAACGTATATGGTTCATATATATAAGTCATGTAAATACATCAGTTTAATTTCAGTTGATAACTTCAGTTGGTGTGTTTGGCTGGTATTATGCTGCCCTCTTCATGTGGACTCTGGGGGCTTCTGTTGATTCAACACACTCTTAGTTCTTACAGGGTCAAAGGCTCAGTAGATTGAAATGGCCCTTTGTCGTGTGTGTGTATGTGTTAGCGTGTGTTTGTGTGCGCGTGTTTTATTGATTTGTCATCGTTTAAGAAGGTGACAAAGTAAACAACAGAAGAGATTGCTTTAGACAGGAGGTCGCATTTCTGCCAGTGCTATCATTTCATCCTCGCTGCAGTGTGTACACACACAGCAATGATCTCATCTAACACCACTGTCCACTGATAATCCCTCTGCTGAGAAAACGATGAACCTCTCCTACCAATGTCACAACAGGCATTAGCTCCGTGTTCACGCCATGTTGGCTCAAAAGGAAAGATGAGAAAAACATCCAAGCATCATTTCAAGGTGCCAACAACCAAAGACAGTTGTGCATCATACATTTTATAATTAGACATATCTAACTTGTGTATGCTCTATAACACATTTGTACGTAGATTTCTAGCCATTTTAGCAATATTTGTTTTAATATTTCGGCAGTACTTTCCACTAAATAAGAAACGTTTAAGCTTTCAGAAATGTCTTTGTGTCGTTCATAAATTAAGAATATGATATGAATGTAGCATTTTGACTTCTCATAGAAAAGACCATCTGTAACATCACTGACTGTGGTGCAACACGCTTGAAAGAATAAACCCATACGGAGCAGCACAGCAGTGGTTTTATGCCCTCTGTGAGTCTGGATTTATATTAAATGTAATTATCCTTAAATTACAATACGAGCTGTCAGACAAACCTACATTCTTACATTTCTATGATCCATGTTTATCTCTATGATCCTTATTTTACTCCCTCTGACTGTCTTGGAAGCAGAAAAGACTTGAATTTGCTTCATTTAAAACCAGAATGGACGACAAGTCCAATTGGTTGCACAACAAGAGGAAAATATTGGATTTGCTCACGTTCAGTCACCTGCCAACACAAAGGCAATCCAAATAGCAGCATGTGTTGTGGGCAGGGTGAGGGGAGTACAGAAAATACTATGGCGCCTGTAAGCTTCTTACCAAAGCTGGGGATAATATTCAGCCAGAAAATGTCGAGACCGATTCCATGTCTACCAAAATTCAAAGAGTGGGATTGTGACTGCCAGTAGTGACATGGGGGAGTCCAGTTTTAGCGGTTTAAGGATAAAATAAACCACTGCAGGGGAACACACGCTGAGGCGATGGGCTCTGGATAGACTGAGGGAACACTGATTTACAGACCAGCAACATGGGATGAAGTGTTTGCATACAAATGCACATACAAACAACACAACCACACACACAGCGCAGGGGCCTGGTTATTGGGAGTGTGAAGATTTTAGTAGATTACATCAGGCAACAATTTAACTAGCATCTTTATAGGCAGATAAAAGAGCAGCTGAATTATCGTGCATCCTGACAGTGGTCAAGGTCATCTTTCATTATAACCACCAGCAGTGTGAGGCAATAACATGAACACACACACACACACACACACACACACACACACACACACACACACACACACACACACACACACACACACACACACACACACACACACACACACACACACACACAAGAGTACAGTATACACCCATACACAAAAGTGGTAAAGATTTACACTACAAACACTCTTACTTATATGCATGAGCACATCCTAATATATAGATTCAAAAATATGAGGCCATGCACATTTAACACCAGACACATAATTTATATCCATTAAGAGGACGGGTGACAGTGACAAAACGTGTGTTCAGCGCAATCTGGAATAAGGTCATGCAGGTTTGCACTGGATTCACCACTGGCAAGCCACAGCCCGGCATGCTTCATCGAGCAAAAATGACACAACACACACATTCACACACAGTATCCCAGTTAGCCAGAAGGAGGCAGGCACCACGGAGCACAAGGAGAAGGGCACCAGCCATCACAGCTACAGCACAAGCAGAGGAGGAGCACAGCACACTGCACAAGAGCACTGGGTCCCAGCAAACCTCTCAGGGAAACTTTAAAGACACACTGGATCACTGTGTGGTTAACAGGAAGTAGAATCGCTGCAAAATTAGAGCTTCACAAGGCTCTATGAAGGAGAGGGCACCGAAGGGAAAAAAGCTTAACACTTGTGGTGGGACAGCTGAGAGGTTTGTCTGAGAGGGGGAGGCAGGCTGAGACGGTCGGTGGGACACGGGCAAACACACGGTCACTCACTCTGAGTCGCTTTGGGACGTCATAGACCCCTTCCTTCTGCTGACTGGTGGGAACCTACACAATCGACCAATACAGTCAGAGAGAGCCTCTTACCTCTGGTTTAATCAAACAATGAAAAAGTCTTCACACATCACTGTTACAGCACTTCGACACACTGTATGCCGAGACAAAACCCTGAAACCTGGCTCCCAGGGAATCGAATCAATCACTAGTAGAGCACGGGTGTGTGTGGGGGTGTGTGTGTGCAGGGATAATCAGAATTAAAATCTGTGAAGTGAGAACTCATCTACTAGCTAATCAGTAGACGATCAGCCTGCTGTGATGGTCTCTTTCTTCCTAATAAAGAATGGATAAGGCTGCTTCTCACACCCACAGACATGTAATAACTCAGAGTGTCACACACATGGAGACATGTAATATCTCTATGTCACACAGGCAGATAGATTTGACAGTGTGTGCAATGAGAAGATACAATGAGCACTGCCAAATGCTGATATATGAAACCTGGGATTTCTATGGCTTTGTTTGTTCCACACTGACATGTTTCAAATAAAGCTTTATTCTCCTCTAGTTTGACGTGACCTGATCAGACTGTGTGGTAAATGAAAAATAGCACTGATTAAGTATGTGGATATCTATCTAGCCCAGCCTGTCTCTTATTTTCAATGCCTTATTACTTCTTTCACATGTTTATTTCCAGAAGCTGCCATCTTTATTCATACATTAGTTCCTCTGTGGCTAGAGGCTGGCTGAGGCTCACGTTTCTTATGCCTGATGTGTGTGTGTATGTGTGTGTGTGTGTGTTGGGGCCATTTGTTGGTATGTGTGTGTTTGTGCGTGCAATCTTCTGTTAGTGTTTGTGCACGCGCCAGTACTCCGTCTATTTTAAATCCATTTGATTTAAAGATCAAATGAGAGGCTGGTGATTAATCTTTCTTTCCCCCGCTTTCTTTCATCTCCTTTGGAATGGAAAAAGGGGAGGAGAGAAAAAGAGGAGGGGTCTGCCTTACACATAGGCCAGGAAAAACCTCCACACACAGGGTACCCTCCCCCTCCTCAGCCCTTGGAGGTCTACCCACGTCTCTGAGGAGTGCACCCAAAGAAAGGCTTGTCGTGGCCCTTAGAGAGCGGGAGCTAGTTGTTGCCTCAGATTCAAACCGTCATTTATTTCATCTATGTACATTTTTACGAGTGAAAAAAAGCAGCCATTAAGTTTATGAGCAGGCCACAAAATATCCATCCCATTAAAGAGTGATGTGTCTAGTACCTAGTAGCAAGCAAATGTAAGATTACATCTCTTTGTTTAAACACTTTAAAGAGCTTCTTGTTGTTTGTGGCTAAACCACAGCTGATCACACGATGATACGAATATAACTGAGACACAAGCAGACAAGCTTGTGAGTACCTGATAAATGCTCTCTTCTGATTGGTCACGGATGGGCTCGTGTCCCGCCTCAAACACAATGTACTACAACGTCAGCAGCAGAGGGAGGAGAGGAAAACAAGAGGCAGGAGAGAAATTGGAAGATAAAGAAATTGAGAGAAAGGTGGTGAAATTGCAGAGGTGATTAGTCAAACAGCATTGTCAATAGGTTCTCATTAAAAGGAAGTTGACGGGGAAAATATAAGTAGCAAGGATTCCGGAAGCAGAAAAGTAATACATCTTTTCAGCTTATCATGCACCCCGACTGGCAGACATGCACACAGACACATGGTCGCACATCATTGGAAAATCTCCTACTGCTTTTGAGTCCACATACACATCTGTAGAGGTCTAACCCGACAAACACTGTAACCAAACAGGACCGTCTCCCCACAGTGCACACAGAGAAGAGCAAGCAGAATAGAATGCAGCAGCAGCAGCAATGTGATTGGTCAGAAAGTTACCTGATAGACCGGGTCCTCCAGATCCTCCTCCAGTATTGTCTGCAGATGAGCGGCGGCAGGAAATTGAGGGAGGAGAGGAGCAGAGGGGAGAAGACAGAAGAGGCGGAGAGTTAAGCCGGTGGAGTAGAAGGAGTAGGCGGAAAGCACAGCAAGACATAGCAGCTTCCCAGCATTCAGATAATCATTTGGCAATCATCAGAGAGAAAGAGACAGTCAGAGAGATAAAGAGAAATTAAACAGGAGATGCAAAGAAGGCAGAACAGAGGAAGGTGAACTAAGCACAATGGGCAGATGGTGCCACTGATGAAACCTGAGAGTGGGTGCTCCGTGTGTGATTCGCTCGCTTTCAAGCGTTTTCAAGTCTTACTTGACTTGTCCGTCAAGAGGCTCTCAGATGGAGCTCGTCACACTTATAGCAGATGATTAAGGTATAAGGTTAAACAGGGGAAACAAAGCTTCTAACAGTGGGTTTGCATAAGTACCTGGTAGACCGCCTGCTCACACTGCTTGTCTTTCTGTGCCTTCTTCTCCATCTCCTCTCTCTGCTTAATCTCATAGATGAGCTGGAACAAGTCCCGCAGGTCCAGGATCACCGGCTCGGCCTGGGAGGATAAGGACACATTATGCACCTACCCATTAACACACAGACACACACACACACACTCAACATAGCATTGATCAGAACTCACCAATTGCAACCATGCCTGTTTATTCTAGTTATATGTGGCGAATAATGTTTACTAAACCTGCACTACCTCATGGCAGGAGATTAAGGCCATGGCCGGACCAATATGAGCAAAAACATAAATCTCCTAATTCATTTTGCAGTGATACCACTACAACGGCACAGGGCGATGCAGAGGGCTGCTTTGGGATATCAAAGTGCACATTTCTGGGTAAAAACTACTGTCAACACCGGTCAAAAAAACATTATCTCCATGATTATTTCTGTGCTTCTAGACGGCTTATCTTCCCACCTGTGGCAAAAGGCCCCAAACAGAACAGATCTTCAAGATGTAATATTTTAGTGCTTTTTAGGGTCTGAGCATGTGCTTGGGCAGGATGAGTCAGAGATACTGGATTGGTTTGATGATAGCTCAAGCCCATTATGGATTATTCCATTAGGCCACAAGCTGAAAAATAAGTGGCAGCTAAAAGTATTTTACACTCGTGTCGGTTCTGCAATTAGTTTGTTTTAAAGCTCTCTATAAAGATTACATTGTCTTTTTTGACTAATTGATTTTTGTGCCCCTGTGATTTTTAAACATTGACTCATTCTTGTAAGAACTGAACGTTACTACACTCAGAGAATGGGCGTCCCAGACTATTTCTAAACAAATAGCACTTTCTATGTAACAGCTCAAATGTTTTTTTTAGCTGTGAGTTAGTCATGGCCTACATGTGTGCATTCGATGTAGTCGATCTAGTTGAGGAAAGAATATTTACTTTTTAATCCACATGTTTCAATACAGGTACAATCCACAGAGTAAAGTGTTAGTAAAACACTAGAAAGAAAGAAATTAAAAGTCTGTTCTTCTTAAATACCAATCCCCATGAAAATGCTCTAATAAATTGTAACTATTACATGTCACTTGTTGCTTGATGCTTTTATCCACAGAGACTTACATACTCAATACTGTGGACAATCCCCACAGGAGCAATTTGGGGTGAAGTGTCTTGCCCAGTGACACAACGACATGCTGACTGCAGTGGGGTTTGAACCTTTGCTCCCCTGATCCGAACACCAACGCACAACCCACTTTGCCACACGCCTCCCGTACTACTACTGTGCTTTTAGTTTATTAATGTTCTAAACTTCAAATTAAAATATACACCTTAAGGAAATGAAAAAGAAAACTGAAAGGAAAATAATAAGAACATCCTTGTCTCTTACATCCTGTGATTGGGAAGACGAGGACACAATCCCTGAATATTCTACTATTTCTCTCCAGGCATCTTGTCTTATATTACCACTTTTTGTCAGGGGAGCAAAAGTACTGACAACAAACCTGCTTCACAACTTAGATGTATTGTCACAGCAAAATGTCTTAAAGTAAAACAATGTTTTAGACCTTATCAATTATTGACTCTGGGTTCCTGAAGTGCACCGAGAGTTAACAGACTGAACTCTGCCTAGCATGGAAATAGTTCTATTTTAGTGTCGTCTTCCTGCACGATGTTCTCAGCCGCATATTGCTCTTGACAGACACACTGGGGTAAACGGCGGCTCACGCTGAGCCAACAGGGAACATATTGTCACTGTCAGACTCAGATCCTCTTTGCATTTGAAAATACATGCTCTAATCTCCATCTTCTTCAGCATTCTGTACCTCATTTATTTTCACTCTCTCTGTATAATGACTTCGAGGTAAGAGCAGACAGTGTTCATTTAAAATCTTCAATGATCAGTAGTTTTGGTTAACATAAAAATCCCCATGAATATTAATGCAACAGATTCACACTTCACTTAAAATTACGTTCTGGTGTAGGTTACAGACTGGTAGATATCTTGTCACTGAATTTATTAATTATTTAAATGTTATTGAACTTCCCTCCAGCTGTCTCATCTAAATCAAATTCACCAAGTCATTTCCTCCATTTGCAAAAACAATCTCTAGAGAATGGGCCTAAATATACAGCTAGAGAAAGAATAAGCGATCGCAGCAATGATCACAGTAACACAAGAGGGAGAAACATTTCAAGTGAACAGAAGAGTATTGTGCAATATACCTGAGCGAAATGTATTTATCTGAAATTGTTGAACCCCGGAGTCAAAAATGTTTGCGGCCACTTAACTAAAATAGAAGTACTGCACCCAATAAACAACAACATGCACCCAGAAATGTACAATGTACCATGCACTTTGTATATTCCATTTTACAAAAGGTCAAATGTGTTGGCTTAACTTTTCCATTAGCAGTGAAATATAAAGCTTTTTGTTATAAAGCAGCAGGAGAACATTGTCCAGAGGAAGCCAGGCTCGCCGATGATTAGCACTAAGTCATTTTCTCTTTTGTGGTTTCTTTCATGATTTGCTCCAGGTGGTAGTTTTGTTGTAAATGTTTGAAAGAAATCAAAATATAAGATCTAATAACTCCAGGAGCCAGAAGTTGAATAAAAAAAACCTAGTAGTCTTTAAAATGTACCCTTTCAACAAATTAGATACAAGTTGATTTCCTCACAAAAATATCTGTTATTATTAATTACAATTGTAACTCTTCTAAAAAGTTATAACAAAGACTGTGATGAGCTCAGAGTCTATGAAAGCCCTTCTAACTCAATTAGTGTGCTTCCATCTCCACTAAAACTTGCTTAATAAAACACGTCCTTCTTACGCTGAGACTTTGGGTTGAGTGGTAAGCCAATTACTTTCAAATGTACCCCTAAATTGGCCTTTCCGGAGCAGCCTCAAGTCTTAGCCTTTTTGAGACAGAGACGCTTTGTTAATTCACATCAAAGTGGTTACTTTCCAATTACAGCCTCAGCCATAAGCTTTGGGTCTGCACGCCTCTCATTGTACGCTCCACAACTAATGGTCTGAGTGCGAGGGATGGCGGGTTCAAAACCTGAAAATGTGAGTAAAATATAACCGTGACCTTTCCTCAGGCACATGCAATGTAAATGACAGCTTAGGTGACTGAAGAGAGCTCAGCCTCATGCTTTGCTGTTCGTCATGGTAGCATTGGGTTTGCAACCTTTTCTGAATGCAGGTCTGGTGGGTGTGTGTTGAGTACTGGCTGCTGTGTGTGACTGTGTGTATCTGTCTAAGTCAGGGAGCCACGGTTCATGGCCCTGGGAGGATGGATATGCCATTAGAGCTGGTGACACACACTCAAACCCTCATCGACTCACTATGGGAAATCAATATGGCTGCAGAGTGAGCCAGCTGGATCCAGACTAAACAAGCCAGGCACATAGATACAACAACAGCAACAACAATCATAACAGGTCCAAGAGGGGTGCTCAATATCATAAAGAGTATGTTGCAGCAGGACTGAATGTGAACCCTCCATACACACATAGAACTAACACACACGCCTAGAGCTCCAGAGAGTATTTTTTGTTTGATGAAAAGCACAAAGGGACATGAGACCGTGTTCAAGGGTCCTTATCTAAATGTCAAGAGGTTTGTGCGATTGAAAAAAGACCCAGATGAATCATACATTAACCTACAGACGTCGGGTGTATGGTGCCACCTGCAAACACAGCTGCGTACACACAGACACTTACCGACTGTGCGGTCTTGATAGCGACGAAGCGGTGGTTCCCTTCCTTCCCGCAGACGTAGCCAAAGGCTCGGTGGTCCGTGATGTCCTTGGCAATGTAGGAGATCTCGTGGACCGCATGATGATGCTGGAGGACCTGAAGCGAGGTATGACACAGAATGTTTAATAAATCATGTAGACAGAGCCTTATGGGCTGGTTGAAGCATTACCCAGGTGATATTACTTTGGATCTAAAATGTACAACATCATGCCAATGAACTGCAGCTTTCTTACTGATATAATGACTTCATTCATGAATTCTCAGATTGTATTCTCCAACAGTTGTTCCAATATTTATAACAACCAAATACATTTAAAATCAGTTTAAAAATGTAAATGGTTTGAAAAAAAAACAGCATTTTTCTGAAGTATTAATATTTGCTACCCTTGGAAATCACTTAATGAAAATAATGTTTTGCGAATAACAAATTGTGAATGACATTGATTGATTAATTGATTGAATTATACAAACTAATATCAAAAAGTTAATTATTATTATTATTTAACTAACACAATTACAAAAACTGACAGAATAATTCTCCTTGTGCACTTTTCCAAAAATCTATGGGAATCAGAACAAGACCCCACATTCAAACTCCCCCAAGTGTACACACAGAGACAAACACCCTGACAAGGAGACCTTGCAACTGATATTAAACTGTTGGAGCTCCTCTGCCCTCTCTAGTTTAGCCTGGGTGGAGAGTGCCAAGCTGGCATTGCCCGTGGCAGATGGCACTGTTTTCCCGAGGACAGGGGGGGGGGGGGGGATCAGTGACAATCACAGCTCGGCAAGCTGTCGACTTGATCACTTCATCTGTGCCCTTACTCACAACACACACAATCACACACACAAACCCAGTCACAACTTAATGTGCAATAGCCCCCTGTTAAGTCACACTAAATGTCTGCTTTGTTGTTATTGTCTAGGCCAACTGCATGCTGGGAGCAGAGGCACACAGTCACCATAATGACCCAGTAGCCCTTCAGTGCATGCTGCAGCTCTATACATCAGAGGCTAAACACACACATCTGCTCTCTTTGAAGCTATTCCAGACCTAAGACAGGGCAGAACAGAGTGACACCAATTTAAGATACACACACACACACACACACACACACACACACACACACACACACACACACACACACACACACACACACACACACACACACACAGGTCCTCAGAAGAAATAGATAATCATTGTAGGAGTCATGTCTTCTAAATTTAATAATTAGAGTAATGATTATTATTATCACCTCTGATTGACCTGAAAATGAAAGCTACGCGCAAACGTTTGCACCCGACACACACACACACACACACACACACACACACACACACAACACCCCACACACACACACAACACACACACACACACACACACACACACACACGGTTCATTTGCAGAGGTTATTGAATTATCTCTGGGTGGGTGGTGAGGTGACAAAGAGAGACTCTGATTCACAGCTGAGAACGAGAATTCAATTGCTCTACTTCGTCTTGGTAGCAAAATCTTCTAAGAGGAGTAGACACAATTTGCATAAGCTTACAGTCAGTACCTAGTTTGTCAGGGGAGGCCTACAGTATGCTACCATATGTGTTGATACACAGATTTAACATCCATGAAAGTGTTTGACAAGGAACTTGGTAGAGGAAACCATGAAGGGGATGCACCTGGCTTTTTTTACCCATAAATCTCCTAACCCTCAAATAGAAGAGAAAATAACCATGTGACATTAATGATGAAACTGAATGTAAAAATGGACTCCGTATGAACCCTCATCTTCTAATTGGCAATGGCAACGCAGTGTTAAAAATGGCTTTTGCCTTTGGACTTTTCTTAATTGAGCTTCCATTAATGTCATGCACACATACTCTAAAACCAGAGGAAATTGTACTTAATTTAATTGAAAAATAAATATAAGCAATCTTAGACAGCACTCAAACAACACTGCTGTTTTTGTAACTTGCTTACTCTTTTTGCTAACTTTACACTGTCAACACCACTGAGCTGTTCATTGGCACAACAATGTCTACTTAGATCTCTTAATAATGAGGCATAGTTTTTGCAAACATAATCTAAATGTTTTTGTTGGTTCAGTCTTGGTAAGTTTTGGACACAACAGTAAGATTAAATCCCAGGAGGCTGGCCGCTGCAGGAGCCGACATGTCTGGCAGCACCAACTATCAGATGGCGCTCAAAGTTGCTCAAACAGATGTATTCTCTGGGGAAGTGGATTGTTTGCAAAAACAGGTTGGTTTATCGAAAAGCCCAATACTGACTGTGTACTCTATTTTTCCCTCTTTCCCTCTCTCTCTCTCTCTCTCTCTCTCTCTCACAATCTCTCTCTCACACAGTGTCGGTGTTTCTGAGTTTGAGCGGTTTGCCCTTCAGAAGAACTAAACCAAGATATTCCCTGACGCTGGAAGTGGGCAAGAGAAGCAGCAGCTACAGTCCTTCTCTCCCTCTTCAGAGCTCTTCACATGGCCCTCCTGAAGGGGAGACCCCAGAGACACAAGACGCTGTCCAGTCTCCAACCGGGAGAGGCCTGAGATTTGCATTTAGCATTAACTAAGAGAGCTCTTTGTCAGTCACTGACAGAAAGGCGCATGCACATAAGATCAACTGTTCCTACCCTGGAATGAATCCTGATTTAAAATCTAACGGTTTGACACAGAGTTGTGACCAGAAAGGTGAACACACACATACAGCATACACATAGTAAGGTGCTCAGCTGGAAAAAAGTCCCCCACCCAAACAAACACTTTTCACACATTTTTCCTTGCTTTTTTGAGAAATTGCCCTTACTTAGTCTTACTTCCTTTGTTCCCCGATATTACCTCTACTTTAGACATACATTACAAATGTAACCCAACGTTCATCCAGTCAAGCTTGACCCTCAGTTGATCCCCTCGGATAGGACCCAATGTGGATGTATGGAATAGACTGAAAGGAATCACCAGTTTTTCTGGCTCTTACCTCATCTGTTTTGTTTCCATGTCTCTGTCTGGCATACTTTGCTTTAGGGTATTTTTTCTACATTGCTTTCATTCAAGCTACCTTTTCTTTTATACATAGTCCTTTGCGCTGGCTGAACTCGACTAATTTGATCTTTCTGATTTCACCTCTGAGGGCGCGGCAGGCTGGTGAGCTCAGCCCTTCACTCTTGTGAGTTCTTGACCTGACTAGAAAGACAAAAAGGGCTGAAGTGTGTAGTGTGCTCGTGTCTTAATGTGTGTATGCATGTGGAGAGAGGCTGGCAGAGAAAGAGAGAGACATGCCAGTCTGCCCTCTGCTAGATTAATGTCTCCCCTCTTCTTCTCCTCCATCTCAAGCACCACCTCCCTCCATCCTGCACGACCTTCCCTCCTCCAACAGAGATGCCATCCATCCATTCTCTCATCCATACATACATCCGCCCATCTGGCTGACTGATGCACAGGAGGGGAACGGGACTGTCAAGAACCCTGAACCTCAGCAGTCATTCTCTCTCCCTCCGACTCCCCCTCTCCCCCCGTCCCAAGCCATTAGAAGTGGTTGAAGGCCTGATAGTAAGGACAGCATATCTCTATAGTTAATATTAATGTGTGGAGACAGAGGACAAAGTCTCTCTATAGACAGCTTTACTTTGACATATGTTCACTGATTCTCTAGCTATCCCTCTAACTCTGTCTCAGTCTGTCTTTGTCCCTCCCTCTCATCCTCCCTTTATCCGTCTTTTTCACATTCTTGTTTCTTCTCACCTTCTCTTTTTCGCCCTTTTTCTTGTTTCTTCACTTCTACACGGTATCCTCTTTGACTCTTTACCTCTCAATCTATCTCCGGTTGCTTCTCTTTATCCCTCTCAATCTTTCACCGTATAGGGTTTGAAGCATCAGGAAGGGGAATGAGACGGAGAGGAATGAGGGTTATAAAAAAGAGGGATTGGACTGCTGAGGGATGAGTTTGGCAGCAGGCAATATGGCTGCCATGTGGGAGGCCACTGGTTACTGTCCTGCCTGCCTGATACCCTTCATTTATAAATTACCACTGGGTTCACTTCACACACACAACAGCAAGGTGTGTGTGTGTGTGGCCCAGGAGGAGTAGGAAGAGCAGATGAAAATGCTTCATTATGTTTTTTCATAATGATTTGTATTATTATTTACTATCACATTTGAAATTAAGCCACACAGTGCCCTTCCTGGTTCTCAGAGTTTTTAAATAATAATATTCAATACATTTTAAAATACAAAAAAACACCACCTTTTGGGCTAAAATAACTTGATTGTCACCTTTTTGCCAAATTCCCAAATCCTCCCCCTGTATCCTTTAACAACAATATCCCTCTTCCACATACTGTCTATTATGTTTGAACAATTTCACTCCAGCTGCCAAAAATATCAAATGTAACATGCACAGCTGCTCTGAGTGGTCTGCAGTGAGTAAACGGAGTCCCTCAAAACCAATATTTCTAGGAGTTTCTGGGATTGAATCTGACTTTTCTATTATTAACACAAATGATGGTGAAATGGCCCCTTCAATGAGGCTGTCCTCCAGCCACAGCGCTAAGTGTCCTGGGAAATGTAGGCGTTATATTTCTTGCTCAAGGATAGTATGACAGATAAGGCCAGTTGGGGAATCGAACCTGGACAATCGAACCTGGACAATATATGTCAGAGGATCCTTGAGAAAGAAATCACTGTGCTCTAATGGCGACTTTCCCCTGAGATGCATGCATGTATACTCTCTCTGGTATTTGACAGCTGACTTCACGGTTAAGCTGTCCATAGAGTGTCCTTTATTTATGAATGGTCCCATGAGTGCCAGACTTGTCTATAAATCTCTACACCAGTGAAATACAGATAAACTATGTTGCTTTTTGTGAGGGTTATTTGGAACATTCAGGTACCTCTCTTCAGTAGAAGTCTTGCAGAGTGATTACAAAAATGTAAAAAAGGTGGGGGAATCATATCAGTTGGACATCAAATCGTACATAGACAGTCGGTCAAGCACAAAACTAGCGATGTGAGATGGAAAATGTATAATCCTGAGGCGTAATCCAGAACCAGTGTTGTCGCTGTTTAAAGAGAGGCACACAATAGGATAGCCATGTTCTCTCATCTACGGAGGCCTTGTTCTCAGGGTTTCAATTAGGGCCTCATGATTTCCCCAGGGGCCCCTCCCTCTCAAGGAGATGCCTCATTACAGAGGAAACACACACACACACACACACACACACACACACACACACACACACACA